TGATGAATATGTGTATGAATGAATGATGATGTGAAATAGATCCCTTGTATCACAACATACGTCCATCAATAATACATGGAGGAATATATGTGTGTGTGTGGATACAGTGTGACCCACTATAGCCTCACTGCTGCTGCTGCTGCTGCTGCTGCTGCTGCAGTCTAATATGGGCACAGCCTACATATGAAATCCACTCTCTTTTCTTTCCCCCGGTCTTCTAACCTGCCTCAGTCCAGCCCAGCCTAGCCCAGTCAAGCCCAGTCCAGTCCAGTCCAGTCCAGCACCAGGAGGACAAACCTATTCTCACAACAACAATAACGGACGCCTGTCTGTAGACCTGCAGACTCTGGAAGTTGAGGCTGTAGTCAATCAGCGGTCATGTTTTGACGACAGCAAGCGGCTGTCCCCCCCTCCTTCACTGAAAATCAGGAGCAAAAAAACCCCACCACCACCACCACCCCCCCTCAGGGAAACGCACGCATGTAGCCGGCCAGTAGCGCACGTCCGTGCCGCTTCTCACCTGCAGCAGCAGCCGCGTATCTCTCCGTCGAAAAGGGGCGAACATTCTAAGGTGTGAGCAAGTTGCCTTTTTTTTTTGCAGATGAGTGTTTACCAAGATCCTCCTTCCCCTCCCTCCCCCCCCCCCGCCCCCACCGGCCCCCACCCAGCCGCCCCCCCCCCCCGGAAAAAAAAAAAAAAAAAAAAAAAAGAACCGACCAAGACACCAGGAGCGGCCGGACATGCTCGCATGCACGCGTGCTGCAAAGAGCCGCCATAGCATCGCGGCTCCAGGGACACAGGGGTGAGAAAACGGGCGGATATGTGTGTGAGTGTGTGGAAGGATACGACGTCTTACCTGAGAAGATGCTTCGGCGCGGCCGTCGCAGTTCCCCCTGCGCCCAGCTTCAACTGCTGAGACTGAGAGCACTGCACAGAGCCAGAGTCGAGCATGCCTATTGGTAGGCACAGACGCGCTGGTTGCTGGCTGCCTGGACTGGGCTCTCCTCACTATACAGCTGAGGTGGGGTGGGCTCCTCACATCATCATCATCGCACGCAGCCAAGCGTTCAGCTTATCAAAATGGTTTCTTCACCCCCCCCCCCCCCCCCGAACTTTGCTTCTCGGGCTCTCTGTCATAGCAACAGCCGTTGGTCTTCCGTGCAGATGTTTTGGTTCTGAAATGGACGTGGAAAAGTAAAGAAAGTATAAAAAAAAAATTTAAAAATTAAAATTAGCGTCAAGTTAAAATGTGGAATTGAACTGAATTTCCCAACTTTTTTTCCCAGTTTTTCACGACCAATTCACCAATGTAACTTTTCATCACTGAATGAAATGATAATCTAAACAAAAACAGAGTAAAAACCTCAGATTGTGATCTGAACTCATATAGTTTGTCAAAATATAACTTATAACTGCAAAAGATTTCAAACATTTAACCCCAAAAACGGTTGAATTGTGACCAAATATCAATATCAGCGAATCATTTTTGATTCTTTCATATCAGTCTTTTTTAGTTTTAAATAGATTTCACCAACAATTCACTGTTTACCATTTAAGGAACATGTGCAGAGTTCAGTCTGTGGTGGCGCTGGTTGGTTCGTCCTCAGACGTTAAAGTCTCCACGTCACTGTGAACTAGGGCTGAGCAGCGGCAACAATCTGTCGATACGATACCTATCACAATACAGGGGGAACGATACGATACCTATCACAATACAGGGGTAATGATACGATACCTATCACGATACAGGGGTAACGATACTAAAAGCACAACGTTACAGGGGTAACGATACGATACCTATCACGATACAGGGGTAACGATAC